GCATTAATAGTTTACGAGTTATTGACGAAAAACGAAAAAATGGTTTTTTGCAAATTACTCGTTAACTATTGACGCTAGCGAAAAAATTTTATATGGAAATTGTAGATCTCGTCGTCCTCTACAAGAAAGGTCCTATACATTTTTCCCGTAGATCCAACGGTTTGGAAGTTATTGGCGAAAAACGAAAATTTCGCAAAATCTGAAGGGGTACCCCTTGGAAAAATCTCGAAAAAATTGAAAAATTTTTTTTTGTCGAAATATCGAAAAATCCTTCAAATAAAAGTTGTAGGTACTCCTATTGCCTGCAAAAAAAGGTCGTATATAATTTTCTTCCACTCGAATACTCGAATACTTCAGGACTAATCGATGAATTAGTTCGTTCATCGTCAATTACTCCTTAACGAGTAGAGTTAGAAGGAAATGAAAGATAGAATTATTGAATTAAATTGTTAAACAATTCAGTTTAAACATTCCTAGTTTGGAATTGAACACGTGAGTAAAGAGTAAGAGCGCGTGAATCAGCGCACGCGTGCAATGCAATTAAGCATCGGGGAAAGGCCGACGCCAACGTGTGTGGTCTTATTAATCGGGGATCGAAGAAGATCCTGCAGAGGTGGATACGCGTGAGCGTTACGGGATCGCGAGTAATGATATCATCCGCTCTCGTAATCCGATTACCCGATCAGTAGGGAATCCGCGACCAAGAACAGCAACTATCGCGTTGACCAACTGGGTCACGTATTAAAACCAATCGACATTGTCGCGAGTAAAACAAGATTTTCAAGCAGTGCAAAACTTTTGCAAATTGAAATTTCTTTTGGAAACGAGGATACATGCGTGTATTATTTTCTGCACGTTCACTTTTCTCTGTAGTCGCGTGAAATCCGCAGTCTATTGATAAAATGATTGAACGACTGTCACAGGAGTTAGCAATTTGTTTTGTACAACGCATCGTCCATAATTCATGGATGCCATAAGTGTTACGCGAGTATATGAAAAAACGTATTTATAGAAAGCTCCCCCGGAGGCTTGTACAATTTCTCGTTCACCGAAGGACGAATTCATATTCGTCCGCGTCACACTATCGTTTCGTTCACGGCCGATACTTAATTACTTTGTTTCCTCTGATATTTCCTGTTACCAAAAAAATCTTCGATTCTCTCCGACGACAGGAATATAAATGTATTACGTAATCACATGAATTCTTCAACGGCGAATCTAGTTTTAAAACATGACGTATGAATTATGTGAATCGTTCCGACCCTGCAAGTTCAAGGCCCGGTCGTAAAGATGCTTGGGAATTTTCGGGCCACTAAAATTGTGGCCCGTAAAATTGCCCGGAGAATCAAGGATGCCTCGGTCCTTCCAAGAAAACGTTTATAGCTCATCAACGAGTAAATTGCATTGATCCGGCACGCGTGCATCCAAACTAATAGCTGAATGTAAATGAAAAATGAAGTCACGAGCCAAGCTGACTATTTATCTTCACGATTAATTCAGATCATCTGTTTATAAATCATTTGCAAATCACTGAGGATACAAACGAGTCAGTCTTAAACGATATGTTCGATTTATGGGTTTAATTGACATTTGAAATAATATTTATGTGAATTTGATAGTTGTGTCATAATTTTTAACAGGCAGAACCAGACGAGTTCCTGAATCACTGCTCTGGTTAATTAATCGGCTGTCATTGGTTTCAACTTTATAGCCGCGAATGACAAGCAGATACATAAGTTAATTAAAATCGATATCTGCAATGCTTATCCCTGTTACTCAATCGTCGTGTATCAATTTGCCGAGCTGATCGAGCGTATCCGATCTCCCGATTACGAAAACTGAGGAGCAAAAATTGGAACTAGATCTCAGCATATTACTTATTCGGGTCACTCGACGGAGATCATCCACAGAGGCCAGTACACCTCCGCAAATGCTAATCACTTCTGTTCAGCGCGTCGCTAAGAGTTCTCGAAGCGTCTTAAAACTGATTCGAATTAATGGTTAATAGAATCGAATTAGGATTTGTACTCTCGAGTGTTCGCGTTTGACCGAGGCAACGCTCGATGGAATGCGAAACACGTTTTCCAATTAGAATCCAGAAACGTGGAAAAGGAAAACGTTAAGGGGCAGGATCCGTTCGATGAAAAACGGTTTCCAAGTTTTGCTCGCCAGCGCGGAAACTACGAGACAATTCACTTAACCGTACGAGATTGAAGAACGCGTTATTGCATGGAAAATTGAAGCGTGTCGCACGACCCGAACTGATTTCAATTACCAGAGGTATTCTTTGGTATTTAAATTATAAATCATTGTACAAAACAAAACATTTTAATATAAATTTAGAATATAAAAATCGTAACAATTATTTCTAATCTTCTATGAATAGTTTTCTTTTATGTATAAAATCATTAAATCGTCTAATAATAATAATAAGTAACATGCCTGACCATTAAGAATTATTTTCTAATTGTTTTACCGTTAGATCCAATTTGTTCGTCGTAAAACGTCAATTGGTTGTACAGTTGCACATGCGATGGAATATCGATCGGTTCATTTATTCCTCTCTATTAACCATCGATACGACGCGAACGGAACGACAATATTTTTTTTTACTAGAATACACGTTTCGCGATACGGTGGTTCGTCGCGTCGAAGGAAGTTCAATCTCATCAAAGTAACGGCTTACGACGATTACTCAGAGCAGTACGCTCTGGAACTCATGGAAACGAGCTTACGTAATTCCACGTAACGTAACTACGGCTCGGCACGCGGCCTAATCGTAGGGTAACGTCCCGGGAAACAGATAGGGAAAACAGGAAAGGGACACGTGTGGCCAACCGAGTCGCTGAGAAAGTAAACGTACCGGCAACGACTTAAAATCAACCGTGAAAAAGTGGTACGCGTTTCCTTTCGGCTGACAATTAACTGATCATACTTTATGGACGTTTGATTTCCCCAATTTCGTTGGCATGATTATTTATTTAAATGTAGTCAGTATTTATTACTCTTGTTATCTGTTACACATTATTTTATTTCTATGTGCAGGTCTCGGAGGTGAAGAGTCAAAGAGGAACCAGAAAGGCTTCGTCGATGTCCTCGTTAAATGAATAAATTATTTACAAGCGAGTGCGAATATCTGAATATTTTTCCTCACCTTCCTTTTGCATAGTTGATACTTATAAATAATTTAAGACCCTGTGCAAATACATGAAAAATTCTTACCTCGTTTCAAGTCCCGGAAATGTGAAACATTACCAGTGGAATGAGAGCAGCTAGGGAAAGGAATGAACGAACGATAATAACGACCATCTCCCTTTATTCTCATGCATTTACAATTCGTATAAGTACATCGGACAAGATACCAATTTTCCACACGTCGTCGGCGAGCTTTCACTTCGATCGTCGTTCACTCGTTTCTAATTAAATCTCTGAATCTAAGAAACGAAGGACCCGGGAGGGAGTATGGGCGCTAGGAATATTCGAAAAACGACTGGGTAAAAGACGACGGTATGATGAATGAGCTAAATACCGCGCGCGCAAAGATGTTCCGTCTTCTTTAATCGACATACATAATAACATACGCTTGTTAGAATCCTACGAAAAGACTGGCAGTACGATAATTAACAAACGTACGTACAGTTGAATTTGAAGAGCGTCTAAGTACGTCTACAGACTGTTTCGCTAATCGGATTCTCTATCCAACGTTTAATCGTAAAGGTCTCTTTGTAAAAAACTGCCCCGAAGCTTAACTAGAGAATCATCGTATTACTCTATCAATTATAATGTATCTCGTACGCGCTAGACGATATAACAACTGATTTTGATTCATTAGTCATTTTACATTAATTAACCGACGCGATAAGCTTGAATCTTAATGATCTACGTAAAGACGCTCGTTAGGTTGAATTAAGCAAATCAGTGACCGTTGATCAGAGACTATCGACCGATGACAGAACTAACGATCAAACCAAATGTGCCAGCTGGAGACTCTGCTCTTAAAGTTCAACAAGACGAATCCTAATATTTCGTAAGATTAATTAGCTACGTTACCGCTAAGGATGAATTGACTAGAACTATTTTCGGCCCGTACGGGACGTTCCGAATTGTGCACAGCGATAAACCTGGAAATCATACGGAGAAACGTTAATTCGTGTAGACCTCGGAACATCCGATATGGCCTACTAATATTATACGACCTAATAATACTTCTTAGAATTTGATTCCTTAAACGAACGGGAACATTGATCTATGCATCTCGAGTTTGAACGGTTGTCCCGATTTCATTGAAATTATCGATAAGCGATATGTAACGATCTAGATCACTAACGAATCGACTATATCTACGTGGAACCGATCGAAATGATATCGTCTCTTTTTGTCGTAACGCTAAAATCATTGTGAAACATACGTGTGTTAAATCAGTGTCGTCATAGAATGTCGGATCGATCTCTGAAGTTTTACGTTCAGAGAATCGTGTCCGATACGGTTTTACCAGTACCGGAGATTTAAGAACGTCTCCAGTTGTACTATGTAGAAAATTTGTTTCTCTCTTGTGGTTTAATTGTAACATTCGTTGTTTTCCTTCTTTTGATTTTCTTACAAAATATGTAAAAATCGTTTAACATTAAACGCGGCATATACTGTCGTCGGAAAGATTTCAATCGATCCTTGAAAAGAAACGTTCGAACAACCAGAAACATCGTTCCGAGTCTGTCAGAGATTTGTTCTCCGACAGAACTGACGCGATCAATCAGAAAACGCAATGACAAGTTGCCTTTGATTAATGTTCACGATGGTCGAAATTTCGTTAGTTCGTCGTGAACACTTTTGTTTTAGGAACAATGAACTTGATTGTACCATGCTTTCAATCCGTTGCGAGCAATAGAAGAGAACCAAATCACCGATCCTTATGCTTCGACAGAAGTGAATTTGTTCGAAATAAAATAATTGCACGGTGAGAATTCTCGATGAAATTCAGAAGTAGCAGGATAGAAATATCCGAACGGTTTGCAGGTTCCATCTGAGCGCGAATTAACTATCGTTATTCGTAATAAATGTTGCCATAGATACGCGATAGCAACCTACGTACGCGAGTACGGCTCCTGTTAAAACACCTTGGGTGTAGCGAAGGAGTTGATCGATTTAACGAGTAATAGTGCGAGAGTGCTACAAAGAGACAACAACGGTTAACAAACGGTTCTTAATTCTAACTTTCGCCTAATCGCTAATGTAAATATTCAAAGAAAGACGTGTACGTGTTCTATGTATAATATTGGCTAAAATCGTCTAAATCGTTCTGGTCAATGAGTAACAATCAACAGTGATTCGAATTGGCGTATAACTACAGGTACATCGTGGAATTCAACGAATGTAAGAAAAATCGATCTATCGTTACTCTAGTCAGTATGATTCCTCGTTAAACGTGAACGGTTACAAACCAGTGGAAAAACGTTCGAACGTCGTTTGAGAAAAATCTTATGTCTCGTTCCACTGAAGCTCCTGTAAAACGGGTTCGATACAAACGCGTGCAGGTGCAAAATTCCAAATGACTCTTTAGCTTGAAAAGACACACACGGTATATGTTGTATAACGATAAAACTGGCTGTGTGTTGCTAGAAAATTGGCAATCCTAAGACCGACTCAAGCTGCCTAAAGTCTATGTCGACTATCAGGTAACGCGGACGTGTTCGATGGACGATAAAGTCGTCAACGTCGCGGATTCGTCTTTATTCATTTTTTTTTTTGTTTTTTTTGTCGATATCTCTCTTATCGGGTTCGCTCAATTATTCGAATAGTTATTGCGATTCGACGTTCAATCTTAATGAACGATCTTGGAAACCTTTTTACTTAAACGAGGCTACGGTCTTAATCTACTTGACTGTGAAAACCGTGTACTCGCCATCTAGTTCTCGTGACGATCGACGTTAAAAAATTCTCGATCATCGCTTACGACTACGGTATTAATTCTACAAACGATTTTGGAAAAATTGTTACACCCTACGTAATCGGATATTCATTGGATTCGTTTTTTCCTAGGAATTTTATATCGTGTTCAGAGGATATTTGATACGACAGAAAGATGACAGAATATCGTCCTGCTGCTTCCGGTTCACGCTCTTTTCGTATACCGTACTTCGTAACACCTGTGCGATTGTCTCGAAAGAAAATCAAATTTTCTTCGTAACTCTAAGGCTCCGATGAACCATCGCAGACAAACTAAACGTTTCGACGCTCTTTCCGTGAACTAAATCATTTATACGCAGTCACACTGGACACATAGACGTTCTGTTTCATCAGAATTTGGCACGCAAATAAAACAACATGACGGAACGTTAAATATTCATTTTCGTATTTAACGTCCGGCGTTTATATTTAATAACTTCCCGAGTCGATATAATTTTCTCTGATAGGTTTCGACTTACGATTCCACAATTGACGATTCTCTTTCACCCCGAAAAAGGGAGAGCGCATTCAACTTATAATAATTCTGAACGGATTCACTTAAATAATTCTTCCGCAAGAAGAAACGCAGCTCGTTCGACCCAGCGAGCACGATTGGATCTCTTGACTCGCAAGATTATTAGGGATTAACATTTTTTTTTTTTTACTTTTTTAACATTCTTTAGAAGTTGAAACTCCCTGCTTTGCAAGTTGGTGAATCGCTTCATCCTGGAACAGACAAGTTCTATCCCTGTATTTCCACTTAAATACGTTTCGTTACGAACTTTTATTTTCTCGTTTAAACAATTCGTGTGCATCGACACTTAAGACGTTTCTCGTTTATCGTCAATTAACGTCGATCGTTTGGACAAAGAAAATAACTACAAATGGGTGGTTTACCTTCAACAAAATAGCGGAGCCTCGGGCTGGTTCCACCAGTGCGCCGCCAAGAGCATGTAGAGTTCCTGATCCTGTACGGTGTAACCCGGGGGCGGTTGAGAAGGCAAAGGCGGTGGGATGGGTGGCAGCAGAGAGTAGGACGGCGGCGGCGGCGAAGGCGACTGGGATTGCGAGAAGGTGGTTGTGGTTGAGAGCGATGTTGGCGGCGTCGTCGTGGTTATCACCGGAGGCTCTTCCTTCTCCGGAGATCAAAACGCGTAATCGAACTTTGCCAGCGACCGTGTGGTCACGTCATCCTACAAAAATACAAATTAAACGTTTATACACCAAACCTGATCCCATAGTAATGTATCGTATTTCATACGACTATTATCGTATCATTATTTGTTGTATTAAAAGATGATAACTGGCCTTTTGGCTAACATCGTAAAATTAAAGAAACAGATGAACTCGTATTAAATAATTCTGGAACGAATTGAATACTCGTTTTATTTATTCGACTCGAAATTATTTTTTTATTTTCACTCGAAAATATTTAAGTAAATGTGAAACAGTACCCTAAGACAGCTTTCCATAAATTCCTCGATGGTTATTATGCCATCCTGGTTTAGGTCGAACTTCTTGAACACCCTATCCAGCTGCTCCCTAGCTTTCCTTTCTTCCTCGGCGTGATGCCGGCGACCCATAAGCTCGTGAACGGCAATCACCACTTCCCATAACTCGCCCCTGGTGATGCAACCGTCGCCGTTTATGTCGTATAGCTTGAAAATCCACCGTAGCTTCTCGTAGATACTGCCTCGTAACAGGGTCGATAAAATAACTAGGAGATCCTACGAGAAATATTTATTTTCCTATAAAATTAGATCCTATAAAGATTGCTTCGTACCATTATCTTCTACCACAGTCTAGATATACGAGTAGACGTCAACTGTATGTATTTTTCCTCTCTTCTTCTCTGGAGCTAAATCACCCCATTTTCATCCCCTTTACAACAGATTAGTCACCCACATTGCAAGCAGCCGGACCGACCCTTTCATAAAAATGGCTTTAAAGAACGCTTCGAATGTAACGAATTGTAAAAAATTGGTAAATTGTCATTAATAAATGAATGGGAAAGGATTGTGAAGAATTGTGACCAAATTTATTATATCAGTGAAGGTGAGACACAATCCATAGTTCTACTCGTATACGTTCCCTGTGCTCCTGTTTCATTGAAAAAAAGAAATTACCCTAAAGTTCATAGCGCCATTGCAGTTAACGTCGAAAGCTTTGAACACGTAATGGGCATAAAGACTGGAATCTATAAATTAATTACGTCTGATTAGAATAATTAGAGAGTGGAACCGGGAGTTTATTTAACGAAGGCACTCACTGCCGTGAGGAAAGAACTTGGCGTAGATATCCTTGAACAGGTCCTCGTGCACTACGCCCTCGGGACATTCCTGAAAGTAATCGAAAATAAATTGTATTTAGTAAAAATGTTAATTAGGTGAATATAGGAAGTTTCCAATGTCGATTACGGGTTTCGCTTGAAGCCGGTTGGGAGACGGTCGAGATAAGGAAATGAGTCCGAGGGAATCTTGCAGATTGCATATTTATGAGCGCGATGCTTAAAACAAGAAGCGAAAATGAAGATTCCGCACACTGTACCCAATCACGTTTTACAGACTTACCGGTAATAATTATAATTGCAGATTTTACGATGTAATATATAAATACGTAATACGTCGGAAGCTTAGAACTGTGTGAAAGTCTGTTAAATAGTCACCGTGTAGAAATTGGTAGTGCACGCTGAAATGCTTAATTAATGTTTCTTTTGAAAGATGCTCGGACGAGACGACACGGTTAAAGTACGAGGTCTACCGAACTATCCAACCGGAAAACGTTTCCTGGGACGAATACAGAGTGCCGAGCTTAAAGACCCTCGCCCTACGCGTCATAGCTTCTGTATGGGAGAAATATCCGCTGGTGGATGAACTGCCGACGTGCGAGGATAGAAACGCGTTGATAGAAATCCTGCCTACGGATCTACCCTTCGAATTGACTATAACGAAAATTGATACCGAGTTCTACTGGGAACGTTGCTCTAAAGCTAGGTGAAACGTAATCGAAAATCTTTTATCCCCGAATCGAATCGTAGAATTATAAAAATATATATAAAGTTCAGAAAAATCGTAAATGGAACGCGGGGGCAATCTAGTAAATGGAGATTTTAATTAAAAAGTAATCATGCCTTTATCGGTCTGCAGTTTGTACGGGATCGCTATTAACTTTTTGTGTTTCCAACAAGCATCGTATTAAACTCGGGTCTGGAACAAAGCATCGGATTTTCATAGAGAATGACCTGGAATTCAAATTTGGATGCGTTTCAGATGGGAGCATAACGATATCAGCGAACATGGGAATTCTTGGCGACGATACTACTGTGAGAATAGTTTTCGGGAATACTTAGAGAATCTGGAGCCAACTTTCTTCGACGCGCAGAAGGAAGCGTGTGAAAAAATGATAGAACTGGTTAAGGACTATGTACATGTCATAGAACTGCGTTCCCTGGTACCAACAAAGTAAATTTTTGAATTCAACCTATTTTGAGTTCTACAAATCGCTGCATTTCGTGTGTTTAAATAGAAATTGTACACTATATGCACAAAAATATACCGAATATCGAGAACAAAACTCATGTTGCGCTACGTAACTGATAAATCAAATTTCATTGCTCGACATCATAAATGTTTTATTAATCGACCATTAAAGAATGCATGAGATACGATTATTCCTTGGCCAGATTTCCAGAGAGAATCCTAGCTTAGGGGGGTTAATATTTGAATAGTAGCTGGCGCGATCGGGTTTGCCGCAGGCGGGAGTTAATATCGCACAAATAATGTGCGTTTAAATCAGAGCTGTCCACTCTAAGCTGTAGTGCTTAAACAGCTTCCACTATAATTTGCTGTGACACATTAATAGGCTCGTGCCTCTGCACGCGGAGCGGGATTGTCCCAATTTTCTGTTGCGCAACATTGATTATTAACCGCGGGATTGAATCCGCTATCATCGATAATTTAATATACCTATGAATTAATACGTGCTCGTTCGCGATTCAATTTATTCCCAATTGTGCCGCGTAAATTCGCAACACGACGTTGCGTAATGAGTCGGTCTGATTCGCAGGAAGCGGAGCACGTCTGTAGATGACGAGGAGGATCCGTGTTTAATAGAAGAGGAGCCCGTTAATCATATACCGTTGGAGCAGATCCTGCCGCGACTTCCTCATCTCGCAGAGCTCCGGATTAATTTCGGATTGATTTACATGGACGACGGGTTCGAATGGCGAGACTTCGAGTGAGTTTACTTCGGCAAGTCGGTCTTCATTGAGATACACGAAAAAATATGTCCAAGGATCTCCATCGAGGATTGTTTGGGACTCGGTCGCGGGATTAAAGCATGCCGGAAATTGAGGAAGTTCGCTTTGACGAGGAGCAATCTGGACCAGCCACGCGCCGCAGCTCTTCTTCAGGGTGTCGCGGGGAACGAGAGTGTCGGTAGAAACTAAACTTGATATGTTCTTGCCACGTATTTATTGAATTCGAAAGGAATAAGATCAGAGACGTCGGATATATGAAACAAACTTATTTATATAAATGCGAGAACATATTTTATACGAGTATCAATTTTCAAATTGATATCACACAATTGATTCATCAGATTATATGCACCGTTTTATTTTTCGATGCTCGCGTTTTTTAATCAGTTGGAGGAGATAGATTTTTCTCATTGCAAACTGGGAGACAAGGGTGCCCACGCGGTGGGTGAATTTTTGTCACTGCACAAGAACCTGAGGAGCATAAATCTGGCGGACAACGGGATAGGACCGGAAGGAATAGGTGGAACGGTTTACGGGCTGCTGAAAAGGGAGCAGAACATGCTGAGAAGTCTGAACCTTCGACTGAACCCTTTACTAGACGCGGGGGCGAATTACGTGTTCGCCTGTAAGTGTGCCGAGTATCGAGTTGCCAACTTTATCCCGCTGCGAGTCAATATTTACCCTGTCTACCGTATTGGACGATTGTATCTCGTAGAATAAACAGTACACCAGCTTCCGTCCCGTTAATCTCCGGCTTGTTTTCGACCGGAAGTCGGCCCGGATGTTTGACTTTTGCATTTGCTCGCTCGTGATTTATAAATCGCGCAAGTTCCATTGGAAATCGCCGATTTAAATTCGCTTTATAACCAAACTGAATTTTTATGCAAAGTAGAACAATTTTAAAAATGAAATCTAAATAGCAATTTAATTTATACGAATGAATACAAATTCGTAGGTATATCATAAATACGAAACGACGCGAACTTTTTAATGGGATTCCGACGGGAAGATTATTTGTTTTCAGATCTGCTGAGAAGCGAGGTTTTGGAAGTACTCGATATAAGCACGTGCGGGATAGAAGCTTCCGGTGGAAGCACGCTTGTCGAGATACTAACATCCGGTTGCTTGAAAACGGACAGCGTATACCTGAACGTGTCCAACAATAGTTTCGACCAGCAAAGTAAGACGATTCTTCTCTCTCTCATTCTCTCTCTCTCAATTTCATTTTCGATATGACCGTCGATAAAATCTCTTTGATATAAATGTGATCGGAAGCACGCAAAAGGGGTTCGATATTTGATTTTAGTCGGGGAGGCATTCGCAGCGGCATTGAAAAACGCTCCATGGGTAATGGGTTTCGAGGCCCGATTGTGCAATTTCTCACCGGAATCGGAGTCCTCCATCCACGAGAGCGTGGTCAGGTAAAGAAACGCGACTCGGTTCGACGATACATGGCTCACCGCTTATTTATGTACAGAAACAAGCAGTTAAAGAGAAAAGAGAGGACCAAGTACATGTTGGATAAAGCACCGAAAGTTTCTATCGACACGGCCGCCTCTCGAATTCAACTTAGTGCGAAACAAAATGCGAAGAAAAATTCGAAACTGCGAAACGAATGACGGAATAAAAGTTGTAGCAATTATATGAAGAGGACGGAATAAAATAAATTAAGAGTTTCTTCCTACCGAGGTGCACGGTCTATATTTTCACAGGAACGTGAGAGTAATCAAAAGTGGTAATTACTTAAAAACCGTCGGGAGAAACACGAGGAATTGCTAGTACCGGGAAAGTAATTAGACTTTCTACGTAATATCCGGTTACGATGTTTCGGTTTCGCTCGAATTTCGAGGGCTGGGGAACAACGATGAGCAGGACTAATGAAAGAGTTAGCAACAAAAGAGCAATGGAACTCGGAGGCGCGCTCGGAGGAAGTTATGCGAGAGCCGTAAGCTCGATAAATTGCGGGAAGTAGGCCAGAGTTGCGCTTTTTCCATTATTAAGAATAAGACGAGGGTGAAGAGCAAAGGAAAAGGTGAAGGTCCATCTTTCACACGCTCGCACCGATCTTTGTATGAGTTCCCTCGTATGCATGACAGATTCCGAGCCGACCACTCTTAAATATGTGTATTTCAATGAAAAAAACGATCTCGTATATGCGACGGAGGTGACTTTATACAAATTGAAACGAAACGTGTTGCGGAGCTTTCAGGAGGGATAAGAACGGCCTTAGTCGAAAATCGATTAGGAGATACGCTCCATATTAGGCTGTTTAGAGAGGGATGAAGATGACCTTAGCCTTACGTCGCCGTTGTAAACTTCTCAAGTATGCAACTTTCCTTATTACCGTAGAACACGAGAATTGATTAAAAAGTTTGGAGGTTTTCTTCCCAGAAGTGAATCGTTCAAGAGATATAAGGAGTTTACTCGATATAAAAAAAATTGACGTACAGACATAATTTTTTTTAATCGATTATGTTTTATTACAGAGAAATCTGCAGTTTATCGATCACATCGAAAAGCAGGGCAGTGTCTATATTTTTCTATAAAATGCATATAACGGGCGTACGTTTTCTCGAAACGATTCCCGTGGATCCGTGCAACGCGTATCTGGCACGATCGGGGACGTAAAATTTTATCGTTCCTCCGGGAGTCGCGCCTTATGATTTCCCCAGAACCGGTGGCTGCCGGAAACGAACAATCCCCCGTTGGATTCTGGGAAAATACTGCAGCCCATTACGAGTCCCAACGCCGGGAATCGATTGCCACTTTCTAATTTGACGTTTACGAGGTAACTTCGCACACCCCGGACAGTTTAATCGCCCCGATAAGACGGCGGACGGGAATTTACGTCCCAGATACCAGCGGCATCCTTCAATTTAACGATTTTACACGGGTAAATAGTTTAGAAATAAATAAGATCGATCTCGTCGGGAACGGGATTAATTATTTCTCAATCGATCGACTGACAGTCGGTTTAATTATGCGCGTGGGCGTCTCGGCAGAAGCGATCACCACGGTTGAGAAACTAAATTACGCAGGCACAGCTCGATTACGTAGAACAACGGCATCGAGTTTCGTAGCCCGGAGGAGCACGTTGAAATTCTCCTCATTAGAATTTCAATCGACACGTGAACTACGACCGAAGCGTGAAATATAATGCAAACATCGTTAACGGAACAATGAACGTACATAATGCCGGAGCAGGCGGAAGGTGACAGAGACGGACGAGAACTGTTTCGCAGGATGATGGAACGGGATGAATCGTGAAAAGAGACCAACGCGGACCCTGGAAACGTTGGATTCTTCACTCGAGTGCCACTCAACTTACAGTTCTCGTTAACCTGCACTTGCGACGTTCTTTTTTCTCGTACGGGACAATAGGGAGAACTGCCTTCTTACGATTATCTTAACGACCGTCTCTGAATTAACTGAACCAACGTACCATTGTTTTTCATTCGTTATAAAATCTACACCGATCTATCCCCGCGAGTCGATTACTCGATTAATTCAGGGGTAACTGAGAATAAACCGAGGGGTGCGTGAAAGTTCGAAGGTTCATCCGAATTAGAAGGCGACAAAGTTCATCTTCGACCTTCGCACGCGTGCTGGTCTACACACGGGCCTCGCGATTTCCCTAAACGTCAAGGTCCCGGCCTCGGCGCTCTCTGATATGCCGGCCTTCTTCGATTTTCACTAGATACCGACACGCTCCCACCCTTCCGTGCCATACTACCTTAAATAGAATCGAGTTCAATAGGACGAGCGTGCTAACGCTCGCCTAACCTTTACGCTTTTTCATTGAATAAAAAAGCTTTAAAATTGAAAGGGACAAGGGAAACAATGAGGCTGTGCACAACCATCCTCGATGGGCTGTGACAAAAGGACAGGATGGAGTATCGGACCTGTTTGCCAGCGAATCATAAATCAATGCCAAGAGAATCTATTCGATAGATTCAGAATGATGGAGTAAGCAGCAACGATGCGATATGAATATTTCGTCCTTCCAAACTCGATACTGAGATTACATACATTCACTGTTCCCGCACATCGATACCTCAAGAGCTAGTCTAGAGACCTACCCCTAATTCCTTTAAACAAATTTTACATCGAACGTGCGATTGTATTTGAAAATTAAACAAACGTTCACCGTTAAAATGGTCCCTGTTTAAAAAAAATGCACTTTGAGAATGCATTTCCATCGCGAACGCACCCCCTTGACACAATTGCCAGACTTAAAGGCTCGAGTGGGAGACGTACAGTGATGAAATAGCGCAATTAAAACACCTAAGGTACTCTCGAAAACGTCCGAGCCTTTTTCATCGTCCCCCGGGCTCCCTCGGGCTTTTAAGTTCCGCGTGCAAGTGCCCGTTCACGAACGGCCGCGACAGGAGTACGATTTCAACGTTTCGACGGGTCGATGAATAAAAATAAAATAAATTGTCCGGCTGGTTTGGCTGTAAGAGCTCTGATTCGATTTCTGATCTCGTTCAGGATGCGAATTTCTGTCCGAGCTTTTACGTTATTAAATGAAGTAAAGCACAAAGAATTTCCTCGAATGATCAAAGACGTTTACGACGAATTTAAATATGCAGCGAATAGAAAAATACAGGAAGTATCGGAGGCGAAATCAAACGGAAATATACAGGGAATGTTTAAATATTTTATCGGGTAGGTGCTTGTAACGTTTGTGCGGGAAAATTAAATATCCGCAAAGCACGTTCCCAGATCTTTTTCCGGGTCCCTTTTGTCTCGGCCCTCGCAGTGGAGAAAGACGATCAGAAGTCGTGTGGCCGTTCGTCTTTTAAAGAAACTTCCAGCAGCGGGATTTAAAAAGTTTACGGCGACGTCTCGCGAAATAGTAATCGCCGTGACACACTTTTAGGCTGGCAAGAGCATAAAACCCGGATCGATATCCACCGTACGTGTGTTTAGCCGCGAAAAAACTGCGGTTAAAAGCCGCGCGCTTTGCGCCGAACAAACCATATTGTACCCGCCGGGATTTTTATTCATTCCCCTTACAAACGGCCATTTCATACAAAATCATTTCTGTTTTCTATCATCAAATTTGTACGAGACATCGTCGAACGAGCCTTACCAGTGTGAAGTTTAAAAAGAATCGAATTTTTTTTGCATTTTTCGAAACAAAAAATTATTACACACAGTTCATTTATAGGCAAATACATCCACAAAGTTTAAAAAAATTCCAGAGACTACTTTTTTTAAAAAAAAATTCCTAAAAATGATCTAAATTTTTGGCGGTTACCCTGGTAAGGCCCCTTAATAATGATTCATTTTTTATCGAATCTAAAATGTTCTTATCGATTCAACCTGTGTACTCTCATTCACCTTACACGACGAGGAGGGAACGTCGATCGAGTAATCGAGCGAGAACGTCCACCAAGATGTTCTCGATTCAGGCGTTTCGTATCAAGTAACGACAAAAGGGATCTCGTATCGTTTTTAAAAAAGAGAGTGACCGCGTGGAAATGTGTTGGATAAAAGGTCCTCGAACGATATCGACTGATGGCCGCGTCGCGTCATGTTCATTGTCTAACTCGTGCCAGCTATCTTCACCGATGGTCGTCGAACCGTTCGACTTTTATCCGCCGTTAATCGATCGCTATTATCACTGGCAATAAAACGCTTAATTCCGTAGAAGTTATTGGAACAATTTTGACCTATCTCGAAATGCTGACAAAACGTTTAATCGGATTAACTAGCGGTCCGAGTCGCGGCGGCGGGTTCGCTCGCAACTGTCTAGTAGTTTAATCCACTCGATTTGCTGCGGACCGACGTGAGTAAATCTTGGTTGAAGAATACAAAGTTTCTATTCCCGTGGAACGTACAGGTGGTTCCGACACAGTTCCAAACTCATTTATTTGCGGGGAAAAGTTTCAATCTCGAAACGGAGTGTTTTGAAAAAAAATTAGTCGAAACGAAAGCACTCGAGCGGAGCACTGAAATTTTGCCAAGTGGAGGAGAACGCTGAAAGACGGCCAGAAACACCTTCCGCGGAGTATTAATGAAACACCCTGGCCGAGAGTGAACGAGATTTCCCTGTTAATTATTCACTTTTCTAATTACCCCAGGCACAGCCTCCGCAATTTTATTCTATATCGCAGAGTATCGATCGTTCCTCGATTAGAAAACCGGAAATAAATTGTAATTTAAAAGCCGCAACAATTTCCTTAGCACTTTCCTAGCAGGCCTCGGCTACGTCGTTATAGGAAAAGTTTTCGTCCTAACCGAGAGGGGCCATAAAACGATGAGGGTAATGAAAATATCCACTAAATTCATAAAGTGGCACCGATGCCCGAGTTCGAAGCTTACGACCGATAAACTATTAAGAACTTGGATTAGTACCGCTGCATAATTCATCTCCGCGGCTTCGGACCATTACTCAGGCTTCAGCGTTAGGTGCAAGAAAACATTTTGAACCATCGTATTGACCTGGGACGACATTTAACGCGTAGGCAAGTCAACCTTGGCAGGAATTCTGTAGGTACTCTACTACCCTCGAAAAGCTGCATAAATATCTGACGCGGAACTGACGTGGCTTAAGCCGGCGGGTTACGGCTGCGAACTCATTTGTCGCGAAAATAAGCGCGAAATTCCGCGTCCCACCGACAAGGGCATATTCGTCACGGAAATCGCTGGCATTACGTGTGCATAAAGGGTAATTGGGCGGAAATGAATTATTATTGCTCGTATCCTAGGTTCACTCTGCTAAATCAATACGCGTAACTTCCCTCGAGCTGAATTTCAGCTTCAAATACATCGCACGGGACAATTCAAATATTTCGTTCGTGCCATTACGATTTATTAAAATTTTAACGAACCAACGAGATTCAGTAATAAAAATTCTGCTTTTATATCCAGCATAGAACTACGCTTAGAAATGGCATGATTTCATTCGTTTAATGCCGATGGACGTTCTAATTTTTTTAGGAAATACCGGTTTCATGAAACTGGTAAATGTCAGGGAATAATAAATTACTATGGTACTATGCAAAAGACGGTTCGCTGATTCGCTAAAGAATATTCCCAGGGTTGAACCTCGCATGCACGCCACGGCGGAGGCGGTAGCGTTTGGAATAAGGTCTCGCCGCAGTGTTTTCGCCGTTCATGAATATGCAAGCAAATAAAATGATGGCAAAGAAAATTAATGGCGAGCCGGGAATGCGAGTGTACTCCGTCGTGTCGGACCGTTGTCACGAATTTTAACCGAGGGGATTGAAAACGGTAGAAACCGACGGACACGTTTCATATTTTATTAGGGATTATTGCATTGGAATAATCCAGGCCGGATGGCACTGTGAAATGAATCCATTAGCGCTGTGTGTTCTGCTGCAAACTGGCGCCAAGTTAATGGCTATGTGTATGCACGGGGTTGACAAAGTTTGGGAGATACACCGGAGTGAGTTATGAACTCTGCCGCGGGTCGAAAATGATACGGAGAAGTTTATTATTTATTATTGCGAGAAACGATGAACGAGCAGCGGTGCAATCGAGATAAAACATCGAAGAAATGGATGGATTTACTTGTTTGAATCCTCGGTACATCACGCGAATCTCCTGCCTGGAGAATTTGGTCTGTCTCAACAGTTCCTCGAGCGCGACTGGCCTGGTGGTCGGTTGCCTGGTCCGCGAACTCTCGAAATCGAAGAGGGCCTCTTCCGGTCCTGGAGAGTCCGGCGGCGTAGCCATTTCTTCCTCGAATTTCTATCGCTTCCTCTCGGCTGGATGCTGTTCGATCTCTCAGGTCAAACGATCGCTTCGTCCCTCTCCATCCGTAGTCCTCTTTTTTCTGTTCCAGTCCGTTTCGACCGACTAGTGACTGCAAAGAAAACGGACAGCTGAATCATCGATCGAACCTGTCTGTTGCACGGCAAACGTTTCACTCTGATTGGAGTGTGCATAAAAATGGAACAGGCCGCGGGAATTTCATTTAAATGCATCCGTTTCGTAAGTACGTGCGATGCATTTTGCATACTCGGCATAGGCCGTGCCTCCATAAACAGCCGGCGGGGGCGGCGTATTCACTGGCGCAGCCGTTTTAAAATCAGTCGATTTAAAGCCCGGACTACGTGTCTGGCTTTTGTACACGTAAGCACAGTGGAACGGCAAACCGAATCAAATATTTGTGCACGGATATTCGAGCGGACCGGGCCGAATCGATCTTTCCGAACGAATCGAATTTCGTCGGCCCGCGGCCACGTGTTGCGGATCGCGCGGTCCGACTCGACGCGTTGCTGTTCCACTCGACTCCGAACGTCCACGCGGAACGACCTGTAAAACGCTCGGGTCTATTTTTGCGCCCGAGACGCTGCCATATTTATATTCTCGTATTCTTTCTCGCGCACCGAGTTCGAAGCAATTTTTGCAAACACGAAATTATGTAACGGTTGACGGGATCCGGGTCACTCGGTTAACGCCTATTGAATCAAACACAATACGACGGCCGTGTTCCGAGGGATGGAAAATAATATAAAAGAAAAAAAAAAACGGGGATGCGCGCGTCAAGCATCGGTTGATTCGCGAGCCGACGAAGACTCAAAGGGATCGCTCGATTCACCCTCCAGGAAACGCGAACAGTTCCGAAGGTTGGGTCGAATCAATTCCATCGTAACATTCACACGTCTTTCTAAAAATATTATTATTGTTTCATCGAATTTGTTCCGCGCCGAAAGAGCCCGGGAACTATTCATCGCGCGGAACAAACGTATTCCTATTCACAACTTTTTTTTTTTCATCGCGGAAAGGAAAATGCACTGGAATGAACATTTTTCTGAATAAAACGTTACCGCGCAACAAAGGTAACAATCGCTCTCGCGTACAAAGGTACGTGCGGGCACAACGGAAACCGACTGAAAAGTTCGAGTGAATCGCGACACGATACGATTACGTGGCGCCGGAAACAACGCGTGCACGGATTGTGGGAATCGATAATACAGAAAGAGAGAAAGAGAGTGAGGGAGAGAGGATTTATATTTTTCACGGCCACGTATGCGTGTGACTATTATGCGACATACATGTTCAATGATACATTCAATGATACGTAGAACGTTATAGTACAGCGAGCATCGTTCCGTTTGGAAAGTTGGCAGAACCAGTGAATTTCCGGAATAAATTCATCCCTATCTCGCTCCCTTTATCGACGCGCTGGGTAGAACGGGGATGAACCGCTACGCGAGATTCTTTCCACGATGGAAACAGCGAACGTTATGATTTATAATGTACTTAATTAAAAAATGATAACGACGTAGAAACTTTCTTAACGAAGAGATTACGAACGTCGTGAGATAAGAAGTCTCTTCAGAGTTTACACCCTCTTCCGAGTTTCTGTAAGTTACGCAAATCTCTAATTGCGGTTCTCATTACCTACTTTCATACGACCACGCGCTAGCTACGACGGCTTCCGTCGTGGAAACGAATTAATTAAATCTGTGAAACGAGCGAGAACTTCCTTTAAGAATTAGCCAACTACGTAAATTAATATAACATTTTTCAATACTTATCGTAATAATACTGAACGTCATTACGAAATTAGATATTATTTCCTCGGAGACATTGGAAAACGTCCCCGTGTTTGAGAAGTTTCCAAGTTGTAACAGGTACAAATTGAATCCGGTTTAATTAATGACCGCCGACGTAAACAAGGCTACGTAGCGATTCACGTAGCGAAAAATTTAAATTAGATTTCTTTTAATTAGTGATTGCCAAGCAGGCGTACTGACGCGCGCCGGGTCGGTCGTAATCGTTGCTGATGTAGATTTCCGGATCGGCTCTAGTGCCATCGAAAATAGCCGGTGAAGTAAACCGAATAACATGCGTTCGAGAAATTAGCTACACACAGTATTAAATCTTTCGGTGAATCGCTCTCTCGTGCCGATGCGATGCTCGCCCGTCCCGACGGTGTATCCGCGTTACATCTTTGTTACCGTTATCTGGCTCGGCCATCCGTTTTGTAGAAACACGCGAAACAGACATGATCGCTCGTTTTTATCTCGACGGATCGAAAAATCAATTTACTGGTTGCCGTCGCGATATAGGAGATACGCGCGCGTCGTGAAAATATCTTTTTATGAGAGAAACAAATAAAGGGACTGGCGAATATCGTGTTTGAATAATTTAGCGGCTTTTTATATTAGCTGCAAATGGCCCGGTGTTCAACTGGCTTAAACGGTGGAAACGGGAACGGGAGCGCGTTCAGTGGAAATATTACCGCTATTATTCTTCGGTTGTGGCAACTTGTCCACAATGGTAAGCTAGTTGTTTCTAAGTAACGAAACACGAATACAATTTCGGACACTGCATCAAGGATTATTTGGACTGAACTGCGACTCGGGCAGCGATAAATCTTGTTAGACTACAGGAACGGGTAGAACAACGTCTGTTGCCAGACACAATAGTTGCAAAAGGTAATTTTGTACGTCGCGAGGCGGGCGATAAAATAATATTACGTAACGATCGCACCTGAGCCGTGGCTATTAATTTTCAAAAGCGTTTCTCATTGCCAAACGTTAAACGCTCGTCGTTCGAACAGAAATCTCTCCTCTCGTATATTATAAAACAGGTGTTTCGCAATCGATAGGAAGAATGCAGCCATTTGACGGATTATTTTTATAGAAAATAAAATGTGAAAGATAAAACACTAAGTATAGAAATATTACATTAACCCTCTGCGACGCTACGTGACTTGTAAGTTACACGTCGACCGATCTATTTATACGTAAATTCATTTTCTTATAATCCCTTTCTCCTGAGCGAACGAAATTCCGATTACGAGGGGTTGATTACCTGTGCTACTGTACTTTTCACCCTCGTCCCTGGCAATTATTATTAGAACAGACCAATGAATTGTGTCGATGTTAAAATCACGTATTTCGAGCAAACGTAAACTCTCGCAGCAGAGAGAGGGATCAACAGCATCGGGACGCGTAGCGTCGTTTCAACCACCCCAGTGACCCACCGGTACAATTTGCCCGATTCACCCGGGGCGCACGACGGCCCCAGCGGCGGTGAAGGTGAGAAAAGAGAATTCGCTTACGTGCGGAAGAAGGATCGGCCGACTCGCTGGAAATTCGATCGGCGCCGCGGCAACGTGGTTGACCCGAGCAGGAGAGAGTTTCGAAGGGACCGCGAGCCACGCTGGAGCACAGGGTGCAACGACCCTGGGTTGCCGAGGCGAGGGAGAGACCGACGGTTCCAGGGAAGGACCGGAGACGGAGTCAGGCTGGCAGGTGCACCGGCATACCGTTTATATCCTCTCCTGGATCGGGACACACGACCCCTCGTTGACGATACTGCGCAACTACGCAGTCGGCGGCAGACTGGATGTGGCCGGGTTACAGCGGACCACGCATCCTCTGCCCCGCCCAATCCGCGACGCTCTCCTCTTCTCTCACCCTTGCTTCGTTCCCGATAGAACCCCGTTCACGTTCTCTCGTACACGACCAACGATAAATACTTGTGTCCCACAATTAATATTTTATACAGAAGTCAAATATATTAAAAGGACTCTATGTTCCTTATAATTATATAGTTTTTTAAATGAACGAAACGAAATCTTAGAAGACAGACGAGATCTAGTACTATGTAAGATCGCTTTTAATAAGAACAAATTTAATCTCGATACCAGAGTTAATGAAATGAAAAATAAGAGATTGTTTAAGCTCGTTTAATCGTGATTCGTCGAAAGATGGCGGGACTGGAACAGGGGTAGTTATTTCATCAGGTATCAAATTTAAAATCTACTTCCATTAACCATCCGCCGCCGCGACGCCGGCCGCACTGCTGCCACTCAGCGTCGTTTCTCCTTTTATATCCCGTGAAGCTTATGGTGGGGTGTCCCGCAAGCTCGGAACACTGTAGAGACATCTCATGTGTGTATCAGGCAACAAGTTTCGTTTATAATCATCATAAACAAGTAAATGTCTACGTTGGTCTATGTATAAACCAATTTTTATATTGTTTACACGTCTCGGGTGTTGTTCAATTAATCTCGATATTTTCTATAATTCCATCTTGTATTAAAGTGTATGCGAATCTGAGGAACTTTCAAGTTAGGGTTATGGCAAAGATGGATCTGTCTATGTTGAGAAGTAAATTTCGTGGCTCGATGCTGGGTGCTTTGGTCGGCGATTGCACTGGTAGCCCTTATGACAACGGCGATAAATTGTCGGATGGAACGAAATTGGTTTTGCAAAGGTCGTTTGACAAATTGGAGGGTCCTCCGTTTAAAGGTTGTTTATAAGATTATTTATAATGAAAATTTGCTGACTTATTACATGT